CTGGCTTGGCTTTTGTTGCCTGCCTGTGCTTCTGGGGTCCAATCCAAGAATCATTGCCCAGACCAATGTCATGGAGCTTTTTCACTATGTTTTCTTCCAGTAGTTTTACAATTTCAGGTCTTATACTGAAGCCTTTAATCCATTTTGAGTTGATTATTGTATAAGGAGTGAGATAAGAGTCCAGTTTCCTCCTTCTGCATGTGAATAGCCAGCTTTTCCGACACCGCTTATTGAAGAGACTGTCCTTTCCCCAGTGTGTGTTCTTGGCATCTTTGTGAAAAATAAATTAACATAGAAGAATTGGTTTATTTCTGAGCTCTCTATCCTATTCCATTGGTTGATGTGTCTGTTTTTATGTTAGTACTATCCTGTTTTGATTACTACTGTGCTGTTTTGATTACTATTTGGTGTGATGCCTCCTGTTTTATTCTTTTTGATCAAGATTGCTTTGGCTATTTGGGGTCTTTGTGGTTCCATATGAATTTTAGGATTTTTCTGTGGAAAAATCAGTTTTGTTCTGTTTCTGTCAAGAATGACTTTGAAATTTGGATACAGATTGCATTGAATGTACAAATCGCTTTGGGTAGTATGGACATTTTAACAATATTAATTCTTCCAATCCATGAACAGGGGATATCTTTCTATTTATTTGTGTCGTCTTAAATTTTCTTTCATCAATTTTTATAGTATTCAGTATACATATTTTTTACCTCCTTGAATTTACTCCTAAGTATCTTTTTTTGATGCCATTGTAAATGGGATTGTTTTCTTAATTTACTTGTAGGTAGTTCATTTTTAGTATATAGAAACAGTGCTGATTTTTGTGTTGCATTGTGTAATCTGTAGCTTTACCAAATTTGTTTATCACTTGTAACACTCCTTTGTGCAATCTTTATGGTTCTCTCTATAAAAGATCACGTCATCAGCAAACAGAAAAATTCACTTCTTCCTTTACTATTTGGATGACTTTTATTTCATTTTCTTGCCTAATTGCTCTTGCTAAAACACCCAGGATTATGTTGAATAGAAGTGGTGAGAGTAGGTATCCTTGTCTTGCTCTGATCTTAGAGGAAAAGGCTTCAGCTTCACCATGGAATATGATGTTAGCTATGGGTTTGGCATAGATGGCCTTTATTGTGTTGAGGAACATTCCTTCTATACCTACTTTTTGACAGCGTTTATCATGAAAGGATGTTGAAGCATTTGTCAAATGCCTTTTTTGCATCTATTGCAAGGATTGCATGGCCTTCATTTTGTTAATATGGTGAATCACATTTACTGATTTGTGTATGTTGAACCATCCTTGCATCCCAGAGCTGCATCCCACTTGATTATGATGAATGATCCTTTTTTTAAAAAATTGTTTATTTCCATAGGTTTTTGAGGAACTGGTGATATTTGATTACATGAGTAAGTTATTTAGTGGTGATTTGTGAGATTTTGGTGCACTCATCACCCAAGCAGTATACACTGAACCCAATTTGTAGTCTTTTATGCCTCACCACCCTCCTACCCTTTCCTCCAAGTCCCCAAAGTCCATTGTATCATTTTTATGCCTTTGTATCCTCAACAGCTTAGCTCCCACTTATGAGTGAGAACATACGATGTTTGGTTTTCCAATTAGTGATCCTTCTAATGTACCATTGAATATGATTTGCCAATATTTTGTTGAGGGTTTTTGCATCTATGTTCATCAGGGATATTAGACTGTAGATGGGGTTTTTGGCGGGGGTAGGGGAGTTTGCTAGTCTCTTTGTCTGGCTTTGGTGTCAGGGTAATGCTGGCCTCATAAAATGAGTCTGGAAGTATTCCCTCCCATCCCATTTTTTGGAATAGTTTGAGAAGGACTGGTATTAGTTCTTCTCTAAATGTTGGTAGGATTCAGCAGTGAAGCCATCAGGTCCTGGCCTTTTCTTTGATAGGAGACTTTTTATTATTGATTCAATCTTCTTTCTCATTATTGATCTCTTCAATTTCTTCATGATTCGGTCTTGGTAGATTATATGTTTTTAGGAATTTATCCATTTCTTCTTGGTTATCCAATTTGTTACCATGTAACTGCTCATAGTAGTCTCTTAAGATCCTTTGTATTCCTGTGTTATCAGCTGTAACATCTCCTCCTTCATTTCTGATTTTATTTGCATCTTCTCTCTTTTTTTCTTAGTCTGGCTAAATTCTTGTCAATTTTTTTTTAGCCTTTCAAGAAATAAACTTTAGAAAAACTAACTTAAAATAGAGTAATACGGTGTAATGTTAAGATTTTATAAAGCTTGCAGATATACATGCAACCATTTTCATGTTATTTTTGTCTATGTTTTAAAATATGTGCTCATGTGTAAATATGACCATGTATGTGCATACAAGCATTTTTAAGTACATTTTAGCAACATTTAGGTTACCTCTGGGAAGTGGGGATAAAACAGATCACTGTTACTTTGTTCCTCTCTTTAGTGTTTGAAGTTTTTTAGAAACATATATTAAGTTTGTGAATTAAAGATGAAAAGCGACTAATTCAGGCTCAGTAGCTTTTTTATTGCATGGATGAGACAAAAGACTTAAAACTATCTACACCTGTGGTTTTTTTCTCTGTAAAATATGGTTAGAAATATCTACTTTGCAGAGCTGCTGTAAGGATTTGATTAGAAATTATTCATAAAAAACCTAACAGCATGCCTTTTACGTAGTAGGCACTAAATAAATAACAATTGTTTACATTATTAATAAGAACATAGGAGATATTCTGTTTGCAAATTTACTCACCCTGAAATGTGCAGAGAAAATAGATATAGGTTCTTTATTTTTCAGTCATCTTTCTTCCACTTGAACTCCCCATGGGGGGGAAGTGGATCTTAGAGCCAAGAAACTTAGTTTAACTCAATAATTTAAACTGGTATTTCAATCTCTTTTGCTAAGTGCTGCCTCTTTGGGTGTAAGTATGTGGACTTTCAGATCACTGTTCCCTCACTGGGTAGGGGGTGCCATATTTAGCAAATAAAAATTTAAGATACTCAATTACATTTGAATTTTAGCTAAACCACAAATAATTTTTTTTGTAGTATGTCCCAAATGCTGCATGGGACACACTTACGGTAAGAAAATGCTTATTCTTTATCTGAGCACCACATGGAACCAGGCATCCTGCCTATCCTCTGGCAGCCCCATCTGTGGGTGAACAGAGAGGGCACCATGTTGGGGAAAAGGGCCCTGGACTCCTGGACTTTGTGCCTGGGGTAGAGCCTGGATCCAGATAGGCCTCTGCTCTGATGTCCAAGGCCAGCATGACCCACAGTCTATGTGTCTCAGCTCAGCTGGACCTGTGGATGGGCACCGGCCAGACCTTCCACCTTACCTCTCAAGGGTAGAGGACTCCTTGCGTTTCTGCTACATGCTCTTTGGGCCCTGGACTAGGGTGTCCACTCTGGGGCCTCTGCAGTGAGGCCCTGAAGCCCTCAGCATGGTGGGATCCATAGCAGATTCCCTGACTTTCAGCCAGTTGTCAGATGACCCCTCAGAAGTGTGTGGGGAGTTTTGATGATGACTGCAGGAATACTGAACTCCAGCCATCCCTCTGCCCAAGATAGTGTGCATCCTTCAGCTTTGCTATAGCCACCCCTTGTGAGTTCATGGCATCCTGGGTCACGGTGCTGCAGGCAGCCCTGGCCATGGTGTTCCCACGGTGCATCTGTCTCCCTCGGACCACCCACTTCCCACTTCCTCTTTCTCCCTGCATCTTCCCACAATCCACCTGAGCCAAAGGGGCAGCCTCTCCTGCCTGTCCTGCATGCTCTGTGCTTTCTCATTCAGCATTCACTCCACAAACATGCAATCAAGCACCAACTCTATTCAAAACACCCTTCTCGATGCAGAAAATAACAGCAGTGAATCTGAACCGTTCTTGACTCTCTCAGAGCTTACATCCTAGTGCAATAGATGAAGAGAAGGACAGCAAGCAAGTACACTGATAATTACATATTATAAGGCCCTGATAGCATAGTGTGTGGTAATAAGTTCTACAAAGATCAGGAAAGCTGTGAGGATGGAGGGTCATGGAGGGGAGTTCCTTTAGATGGGACAGTCGGAGAAGGCATTTGAGTAGAGATTTGAATGAAGAGAAAGACAGGCCATAGCAGTGTCTAGGGGCAGAGCCTTTCAGGCAGAGAGCACAAGCGGCTCAGTGGGAAAAGGCCTGACATGCCTCCAGCCCTACAGGGAGGCCAGCTAGCTGGAGTGGGTGAGTGCAGAGGACAATGGCTGAAATAAGGTTGGAAAAGTCACCAGGCCTGCCTGTTAATATGTTTTCAAAAAGATATAGAAAATAATTCAGATACTTTTTTTTTTTTCTTTCTGGACTCACCTTTTGCTAAGAAGAATTAAGAAGTCACCTGCAGAGAAAACGGATCAGGGGCCACTTGGTCCTGAATTGGACCTTCCTTCTCACTTCTCAGGGCTGCAACATTCCTGCAGCTGGGAAGCTGCAAGCTAATGATTCAAGAGAAAACTGAAATATAGTTTGACATTTTCAAAATGTTCCTGTTACATGAATAAGTTACAAGGTGTTATGAGAGACCTGTTGGATGGAGTGACATCCTTCCTGGAGGAGCCAGCAGACTTAGCACTGAGGCTTCATTAATTTATAAGAACCCATAAAGCCATCCTGGAATGTGCGTCTGTGTGGTAAAAAATGAGGTTATGAGGATATAAACCAAATGTGATGCTTCATAGAATGATGTTTTGTGGCGTTACAATAATCTGAAAATATGGACTTTGAGTTGGGTGTGTTGTAATTAACACAAGTGCAGAGGTAGGGAGCTGTGCCTTGGCCCCCCTGCCGGCCTGGCCTCTGCCATCCCATCATTGATTACTCTTCTGTGAATTTGGGTTCTCCAGGCTCCGCACATCTATCTCCATAGTATAAGGAAAACTTGTTTTCTTTTTCTGTTGTCAGCTAAACTAATGGCTTCGTCTTTGTTTTCTTCCTGGCTATTCTCTGCCCAACACAGGTCCTGGTATTCCTATGGTGACGGTGCACAACACAACAGATAAGAAAAGTAAGTGCTCTTTTTTTCCCTTAAATTTTCCTGAGACTCAGGAGAAAGGAAGCAAAACACTCTATGAGATCAGCTGGCCCACATTCTCCTACTCAGAGACAGAGGGAGGAGTCCTGTCCTAGCAGTTCAGAGTAGGCCATGCTGATCACCAATATCAGCTAACTATGATGAAAGCCAGGGTCTGCATACCCCAATCAGAGGGCCCCACACCCCTTCACAAGTGCTGAGCCTGGAGGGTCATTCTAGGGCCACCCAGGTCATAGCCTGACATCCTCTGAACAGCCAGCTCGAAAGGCTTTGTAGCCTGACATGAGTCCATCCCCACTGAGAACCTGCCATGTGGCGCCAAGACTTGAGGGGCGCATGGGGGCTCATCTGTCTTTGTGGGTCTGGGGGCTTCATGGCATGGAGGGTCTCTGCATCCATGCTGCACAGGATGTCAGAGAAAAACTGATTCTGCCATTTGTAAAATGGTAGGGAAGGCTTTTTCAGGACTGTTGTGAAAGGGGAGGGAGATTCAGGCTCAACTTCAAATACAGCAAGATCCGGTGGGGGTTTATTATGGCCAACGAGCAGAGAGAGGGGTCCGTGGATGGACAACTGCTAAGAGAAGGCATCGGTGGGAGGAGATTTTTGCTAAGCTGATCTCACAAGATCCTTGCTGAAGGCAGGACAAGGACTTAGGCTCAAAGGTGGAGGATGAGGAACTTGCTCAGTTACGGAGGGTGATCAGATATCAGGGGCAGGGACTTCTTGCCAAAGCTGGGCAATGCAGGCCAAAGACAGGATAGGATCAAGGTGGAAGCCTGGTCAACAAGAGGACTCAGAGGAGCCTCACTCAAGTTTGGTCAAGAACGGAGTCTTTGTAAGACCTCCCAGGGTCTCTTGAGGCATGTGTTTACTCGGAGGGACCCCACGCAGGTCACCACGGGCACATCCATGTTTATGCGAGGGATGTATGCTGTGTGCAGTGGGAGGCAGACACGCAGCACAGCTGAGAAGCAAAGAGAACTCGCCCTCGGTCCCTCCCTTTCCAGCCCTCCCTCTGTCTAACCCAAAGCAGCCTGTGTCCTCCTTCCCCCAACTCCCTCCCACTCCCTTCCACATCCGGGAGCCCCCTTCCCTGGCAGGAGGGCAAACCTCATGGCCAGGGTCCGCAGCTCCCCTAGGTCTGGAGACAGAGGTGACTCCGCGTCTCCAGTGACCATCGAGCGTCAGCAGCTCCCTGATCCCTCTCTCTGTGACGGTACTTTAAGCTCCAGGAGAACTGGGGAGGAGGGGGGCATGTTGGAAAGGAGAACTCCAAACATATGTTTAGACACCGTGAAGTGGTTTCAAGTGTTCCAAAGTGGACAAAATAGATTTGTTTAAAGAGACAGCACTTAGCCAATAATGATGGTCGTCTGCCAAGCTATCAAATCATCATTAGAAATTCAAAACCAAAGCATAAGTAATCATAAAACCAGCAATAAATGAATAGATTTTAAAGCCCCGCCCCCCTCAAAAGCCATAAAGTGGATGTCAGAATGTATACACAGAAACACTGAGAATGGCCGTTGGAGGGACCCAGTGCTGAGAAGAATCAGGATGGCCTTCCTGTCTTCCTCCCCAGAGGAGGGGCTGGTTTTCCCAGCAAAGAGGTTCACCTGCCCCCGGCCCCTTTCCAGCCTCACCTGCAAGGTTTGGGAATCTGGGCCATTTGTGCAATGGGGGCAGTATCCCCCGAAGGATGTTGGGAGTGATTGCCTGGGTCTCCCACCCGCCCACAGCATCCACACACCCTCTGCCCACTCTAACGGGCACGTGTCTGTAAAGAGCCCTCCAGGAGGCCACAGAGGCTGAGCTAGAACTTCCACCGGGCCTGGGGTCGGTGGAGTCTGACAGACGTACTCCAGCATGACAGTGAACGTTTAAAATATCCTAGATATTATGCTAGATAATATGCTAGACCTCTTTAGGTGGAATTTTCCCTGAAAAAATGCAGATGTTGCACAGAGCCTCAACTATGACATCTTTTTTTTCCTTAAGAAAATATGTACTTTCATATTGAGTATTTGATAAAATTTAGAGTCCATGGACACCTTTCTGATATTTGTGAGGTTTTCCCCTTCTTAAAAAATGGATGATCTGGTAGAAATTAGATGAGGTGTCCAGTGCAGCTCACAGCATTGCAGCCTCCCGGGTTGGCTATTACCTGATGGTTCTGTGAGATGCCACCACTGGGGACCCTGGAAGTGGGGACACAGGACTCTATGTACTATTTGTGCAACTTCCTAGGAATCTATAATTATTTCAAATTTAAAAGGTTTTTCTAATCTGTGGTCTAACAAAAAACACAAAAGTATTTTTTGACTTTGAAAAATACGATATAGCATATGGCTCTTCTTACAAAAGTCATTCCCTTAAATGCTTTCTACTTCTTTGGGGGAAGCTATTATTAATCTATTCAAGTTCAAAGGTTAATATAGTCCCGACTTTTGGGAAATGCATTTTGACTTCTAAGCCACTTCCAGCCTGGATGTGGTCAGTCCTTGGGGCTCCTAACAGCTCCCACGGTGCTGGATCAAGTCAACAGTTTCCAAGGCTCACGTGTGAATGAAAATGAAGCCGGCCTATATCTTAGACGTGTGTGACATCATTGAGAAAATGTTTCATTTATTCCATTTATAAGAATAAGGTAATATATAGGCGGGCTGAGATGCAATTCTTTGGAAGAGAGTCCCAGTAAGAATTGACCAAATGTCTTCCAGCAAGTACAACACACTAATGTGCTCAAAGATCTGGGAAATTTTGTTAACTCTGCTGGAAAACCAAACAACCACTTCTTTTCTTCTGTGGGATTGGCTACTGCATTAACCGATCAATCCAATCAATATTGACAGACCATAGGCCCTAGGTTGCCATCCACATCCATCGCAGAGCTGCATAGATGGGAATTTTTTAGGAAGCATTTCACTGTTTGCAATTGAGCTGTCACTTTGGTGACTGTGACTCCTGGAAGCAAAGAGATAGGACCCAGTGGCTTAAGAAATAAAAAGCACTGTGCACACAGGATGGGGCTGGTGTTGCATGCCTGTACTCCCTTCTTCTCTGTGTGAAATTTAACAGTGAACCTGAAGGTAACACCATTGCACTCAATCTCAGCAAAGTGCTGACCAATTGGAAACTGGATGGCGTTTAGAATTATTTTTGTCACATTTATTTTACAAGCCGATTTATATAGCAGTATTTGACTCTGGGTTTCCTGGAGCCTAATTCAAACTCTAGGAATATTTCATACCATCCTAGCCTGTTTCTGTATTTCTGGCTGTCAAAATAGTTCAAACGCTTTCAGGATGGTGACTTAAACTATTTCAGGATGGTGACTTTCCATTTTAACTTGGAAAACAAAAAAGAAAGATTAAATGTGGCTGAGGTGATTGTCATTCCCATCCCCGGGAGGACAGTAGGGGCCTCATCTTGCTCAGGGTCTATGTTACATGCAGACTTCATGGTTTGAGGGGCTCCACGTTCCTGAACACCTGCTTTTTCCCTGTGCCTGGATAAAACTGCCTGAAATCCCATCCTTGCATGGCAGTCCCTGAGGGGTGGCACATCGTAGCTGCACGAATGGCTTCGAGTCCACCTGGGAAATAAGAGCCGAGCACGGCAGGCCCTGGTAAAGTGCCAAACCCAGCCCTGAGTTCTAACCTACAGGTGTTTGCCGTGGGAGGCGTGTGGGGCTTCTTCAGTGTGTTTACCTTTTGACATGTCTGATGTCCTCTTGCGGTGCTTCCCAGCCCGTCTCCAACCCAGCTGCATCCTCCCCAAACAAAATGCACTGAGCTTTCATTTTGTCTGTCAAACTGATGCATCCTGGGTGAGGAGGCAGGTGCCTGGTGCTTCCAGGCCCCCAGTTCCAGCAGCATCTTGTTCGCGGTGTGGTTGGACCACGTCAGAGACTCCTCGTGGTCTCTGTAGTAGATGCAGGGTCCACAGCACGAGGTTTGCGGGTGGATGTGCATCTCAGGCAGGCAGCAAAGCCATTGTCAGGCCAGCACTTCACACACCAGCCTTTGGGCCTCAGGTAAGCTTGAGATCAGTTGTCCTCTTTTACGACTGAAAAGGCCGCTGGAAGACTTCCAGGAGCAACACAAAGGCGAGCAGTAAATTACCCGTCCCTGCAGATGCCTGTTTCATCCGAACACTCGGCCGGCTCGTGGTTCTGCATCATTAGGATTTTGCAGAACCACACACCACTTGTACTTGTTCCATCTGATGCTCCATCCTGAACATCTCAGACAACCGTGTTCTGATCAGGGGGCCAGAGTAAGGCTAGAGGTGACAGGGAACCGTGGTGGTAAGAGTAGTGGCCCCAGCCAGCATTTATCAAGCACTTGCTCCGGGATGGGTGCTGTAGCAAATACTTTACATACTTTAGCTCATTTCATCCTCACAACAGCCTGTGAGGCGGGAACTGCTATCATCCCCACTTGTCAGCTAAGGAAGCTGAGGCACAGCAGCTTAGGTGATTGGGCCACATGCACGCAGCGAGGAAGCAAAAGCGGTGGAGTTGCATCTCGGACCCAAGCAGTGAGGCTCCAACAGAGCCTGTTCTTCCAGACAGATGGTCATCGCACAGTGCTGCTCAGCCACCTGCCCTCAGGCGGTCTGAAGGACAACTGCAAATCCACCTGGCCTGCATTCCCATTGAGATGAGTCTGGGGAGGCAGAAGCAGTCACACCTGCAGCTCGTTCTCAGCACCTTCTCCGCCTGTACACCACCCCCAGGGCCCATCCGAGCCAGCTCTGGGGTGAGCGTGCAACACGGCACCGTCTCCTGCTCTGAGAAGCCTTCCATGTCGCAGGGAAGAGATGCTCCTCAGGCCCTGATGGCTCTTAAACCAGTGGGGGGCCCCGTGGAATTAAGGGCTCTGCTTCCTGCAGCAGCTCAGCCTCCATGCACAGGCTGGGCTCATACTCCACGCACTGGGAGGGCTCAGCCCTTGAACTTCACCCTC